TGAAAGGTCATCTTGCCTGGGAAAGGTTCATGAAGAGTGGAAGGAAGCAAATGTTATTCCCTTCTTGGCAAGGAGGAGGATCCAGGGAACTACAGTCTGATAAGGCTCACCTGGGAAGGTAACAGAGCAGCTAATCTTGGAAATCACTTGCAGGGAGTATTCAGTGTGGATTTACAAAGGGGAAGACATGCTTACCCAACCTGACAACTTATGATGATATGACTGGCTTGGTGAAAGAGTGAAGTTTACCTCGATTTCAGAAAGGCTTTCAACAGTGCCTCCCACAACATCATAGAATCACAGAATAGTTTGGATTGGAAGGGACTTTTAAAAGTCATCTAGTCCAAGCCCCCCCAGCAAGGAATAGAAACATCTTCAACTAGACCAGGTTGCTCAGAGCCCTGTCCAACCTGATCTTGAATGTTTCCAGGGATGGAGCATCTACCACTACTCTGGGTTACCTGTTCCTGTGCGTCACTACCCCCATTGTAAAAAATGTCTTCCTCATATCTAGTCTAAATTTACCCTCTTTTAGTTTAATACCATTATCCCTTGTCTTATTGCAACAGGTCTGACTATAAAGCTAGTTCCCATCTTTCCAGTAGGCCCCTTTGAAAGGCCGCAGTACCGTCTCCCTGGAGCCTTCTCTTCTCTAGGCTGAACAACCCCAACTTTCTTAATCTGTCCTCATAGGAGAGGTGTTCCATCCCTCTGATCATTTTCTTCATTAATGACTTGGAAACAGTGCAACGTCACCAAGTTTGCAGATGATAGAAAGCTAGAAAGAGCGACTGATACACCAGATGGTTGTGCTGCCATTCGGAATGGCCTCAGAGGCCAGAGAAATGGACCAACAGGGATCTCAGCAGTCACAGAATCACAGAATGGCTGAGTTTGGAAGAGGCCCCAGGAGGGCACGTGGTTCAAACCCCCCTCCACTCAAGCAGGGTCACCTAGACCATGTCCAGATGGTGCAGACATGGATCACCATTCTGTGATTCTGTAAACATCTGCTGCATGCTGCTGTCAAGGTTGAGATGCTGGGATCAATGGAGACTTGGTCTGACTTAATATGCACTTGCCTGGATCACTTTACAGAATTTTCCCCTGTATAATACCATGAAGGATATGTTCTGCTAAAAGATCATTTCATTCATTTGTCCTATAATGAACAGAGACTTTCTCCAGTTATAGATGGTCCACTGTATCTAATTATACCCTTACATTATGCATAATTTAGATACCATGAACATTGTGCTATGTTCATCTTGCTGCCTGCCAGGCTTCTGAACTTGTTCAGTAGCTGCTTTTGAAACAGCAGGGGTATGGCTGCTCTCTGGAGGGGAAACCTGGTCTTACGGTGAGCCAGGGAGACCTGCTACTTCAGTGCTCTCAGTACCTGCTGGAAAACCAGCTGTCTGGAAAATTACATGCAGGGACATTTCAAACAAGGGCAAATAGGTAATGTTCATGCCAGCACTTCAGTAGTTGCTGGTTGGACTGGACTCTACAACGAGACCAAGGACAGAACTGAGCCTGATGTACAGCTCTGGATCTTTGAAATCAGAGTCTAGATGAGAGTCAATCTCCAATTTAGAATTCCTTAGGTGTAGTAGGAAGCATCTCTGCAATGAACCTAACCACCTATGACATTTCTGAGAAAAGAAATGGATACATTTTATTCCAAAAATGGATCTGGAAGTTTAAGGATAAATAGTAAAGCCATAACTACAAGTTAGTTCTGAAAATGGTTGTAAGAGACAACATATGGAGGATGTTATTGGAAAGGTATCATAGGAGCTCAGTAGATTGTGGATAAGATTCTTACTCATTCTGTTGCTGTTGGGCTTGTAAAGCAGTGTATCAGCCTTTGATTTCCTTTAAAGTAAATCTGTAGTCTTCTTTTGTCAGATGGCCCTGACGACAACTGAATGAAAGGGCTGATTCGTTCAATGGATCAATCCAAAAACTGGTGGGATTGGTGTGATCCATTTCAAGTGGAGAGGATGGGTGTTCAGAAGTATCTTCTTCCTCTCCCATACACACAAATATTCACAGAAACTGTAGTGTCTGCAGAAACCAATAGTTCACTAAAGTAAAATTTTAAGTGACAAAGTTAAAGCAAAATAAAATTCTTAGGAATTTTCAAGGAAGTTGAAGAAATATGATATTATTTGGCTACTGAATGAATCAGAAGTATTAAAAGTCTCTTCTGTGTGTTGTGTTCCCATATCACTGTGATAATGAAACCTCTCCTAGATTTTCAACTCTTTTCATGTTTGAACACAAATTAGCTCTTCTCACCATTTTTTTCTCAGTACCATGAGCAAGAAGCAAATTCATTTTCCACATCCAATAAACGAACTTCTCATTTCTCTGCAAGAAAACTACTGTCCTGCAAAAATAAGAGATCATATGTCAGCTTATTCAAGTTATAAAAGCTGTAGGGTATTTAAGATGCCAACATGAATCCTTAAGTTGCTCTGCAGTTCCTTAATGCAGCTAAAAATCATGGAAGACAGACTGATTTCACCATTTCTTTAGGATCTCAAAGCTACAACAGTAACAATATTTTGTTGTGCGTTTGTTTTTTTTGTATTACTGAGGTACAATGTTTTGCTTTTGGTAGATATGTAATATTAATTAAACTTATCTAGAGCAAATGTAGAATATGAACATGGCACATATACACGGTGCTGTGCCAGTAGAGATCAGAAGCAAGTTTAAATGAAGGTGATATCTCAGTCCTGACTGGTAAGGCATCTGGTGAAGAAGAAAATGGTTTTGGTTGGAGGGGACTTGTGAAAGCCATCTAGTTCCAATCCTCACTCAAAGCAGGTCCAGCTATATCACGTTGTTCTGTGGTATTAGTATTTCTTTGCTGGAAGCAGCACTCCACATGTGGTCTCACCAGTGCTGAGTCAAGGGGAAGAATCACTTCCCCTGACTTGTGGGCAAGATTCTTGCTCTAATAAGCTCAGGATGCTGTTGGCATTCTTTGCCCCTAGGGCGCATTGCTGGCTTATGTTCAACTTGTTTTCCACAAAGAGATCCAGATCTTTTTCTGCGAAGCCGCTTCCCAGCCAGTCAGCTCCAGCCTGTACTGGTGCCTGGGGTTATTCCTCCCCAGGGACAGGACTTTGCATTTTCCTCTGGTGAACTTCATGAGATTCTTGTCAATACGCTACTCCAGCCTGTCAAAATTCCTCTGAATAGCAGCTTTTGTGTATCAATCCCAGTTTGGTATCAGCCATGAACTTGCCGATTGCACTCCATCACAGCTCTGAGTTGTTAATATAAGAAAGTTTGTGCATATTGTGTGGCTGATGTGGCTCATCAGAGTGCCCTTGGTGATCTCTTAGTTTCGCTGATTGTTTCTATGGTATTTATGAAGACCAAGAGCCAAAAATAGAGATAGGTGAACAGAACAGTACTCAGGTGGTGTTTAGCCACCTACTTTCAAAGAACTGGTTTTAGACTGCACTGGAAAATGTTCAGCCCCACTCCTGTCCTCTTCACCAACACTGCATGAAAGACAGGATAAACCTATACTAGGGTTTATGCTTTTCCTTCAGCGATGTTTTGCATCTGATTCCCACCCCAAGGCTCAGGTGCAGGCAATGAGTGTGGGTTTTAGATGGGGTTGGATGCAGACACACACGCATACTTGATTATCAGTGTAGATGCAATTCCTGATGTAGGAGACCCACACTGCCATCCCAGGTGGAGCAAACGGTCATTCTCTAGTGAGAGAGGCTCTGTGCTGGGAACAGAGCATCCCTAGGCTGTGATTCTGTTAAGCAGCCAAGACTAGAAAAACAATTTGAATTAAGCAAGTCTTTGGTTAATAAAGATAATAATTTCAATTTATTTAATTTACAAAGATTTTTTATGTTAAAGGACTCCAAAATCTGTTTTAGCACACCATATCCTAAGAATCCCAAAATAGCTTCCCCAATGCAGCAGCATGTCTGTTTTTTGTCTTTCCTACCAATAAGTCACTACTCATTTGATCCCCACAGAGTCAAATTCAGTTGGAATTTCTTGTCAAAAAAAGCACCAGATATTTTCAGTGCGCTGGGGGTTTGAGCAAACTTCTGGTTTCTTATCCTTCTTGGGTTATTTGTGAAAAAAATGCAAAGAAACAAAAAAAACCCGACAAAAATTAAAGCCTGACAATCGTTAATTGTCTGGTAAGTTATGGCCACAGCTCATCCTGTAGTTGTTTCTAGACAGACTTAGACTGGGACCCTTTCTCTGGTGTAAATTTGTACAGTGGCAATCCCTGTTCAGGATGCAGCCTCAAAGGTCTTCTTTAATAAAGATGATAAGTATTAGTAATGAGATGATCCACACAGGCTGCAAAGAATTCCTGCTGGCCTAGGGGTATTGCAAAGATCAGTTCATATCTGTAGATGTTTTTGAAAATGCAAGTGTCACATCAATATCTTTGCTACTGTATCTCACTGAAAAATACCGAAGTAGAATTTTATAACATCATACAGAAGGCATATATTAAATTTAGAGACCACTCTGTTCTACAGACTACATAATTTGAGGGTTTTTGTTGGATATTTAAGGTGGATAGCATTCTAAGGACCATATTCTGACAGATTGTCTGCAGAAATATTTACATAGATCTCGTAGATCTTATTTGGGCACTGAGTAGCTGCTAGTTTCAATGGGGAACACCAAAATAGCTCAGATGTTCCAGACCTAAGGCATTATTCAACATAAATTTAAGTCTTCGAAATCTGGGTGCAGAACTCATTTGCTGATATCTATTACTCTGCCAGAAAAAAGGTGGAAAGTGGCACTTGCAAATTATATACTATTCTGGTCTTGTGCATAAGTTACTTCCTCATGAATCTTTGTCAAAACCAGAATAATTTCAAAATTGTAGTGTGCCTGACTCATTGAGGGATGGTATGGGAAACAAATTACTCATGTGAAATGTTTTACTATTGCCCATCTCAGTTCCTCACCAAAATCAGGAGACACACAGCACTGTGAAGATCCTTCATACACTTTGCAGGAGGGCCTGTAAGTAACTCTTTAGGGTTAATATCAAGGAACTGTGGGTAGCAATCATAGACTGAGTTAGCTGCTCTAAGGTAATAGGACTTTCTTTAAATTAATTGTTGTTGCCTTACTGATTGGAGGATCTGTTCCTAAAGTTCATGAAACAATTTAGTCCTAAGAAGTCCCAAAACTATGTAGAATAATATGTGCAGGAGAAGGGAACGTGTAATGTCTCTTGTTCCCTCCCATCCCTCGTACTGGAATTCTCTGTTTTGTAGAGTTATTTCTGTCAATATGCAAACTAGCACTTGGGTTTCCCAAACTCTGTCTCCATTTCTGCCTGAGCTTTAAGGGAGGTACATGTTTGTGTGTCTGCTACATCAAAGCTTCCAAATATAACATGGCCCATAGTGGTATAAGCGAGAAATTTTGATTTCTTGTTCCATATTCATTTCATAGCGGTTCATTTTCTACGGCACGTTTTCTGTGTCCTGCTCTGAGCACCTAGCTCAATCAAGTATAACTTGTGTTTGAAATGGAGAAACACAGGGAGAGGTTCATCTAACCTGACTTTGAATAGCTTGCTCTGAGTAATCCAGACTCTTTTCATAGCCGAGACAGAGAAGAAGCTCTCATAGGACGCAATCCATCTCACGCAAGGATGGACTTCTAAACCAGGTCTGAAGTATAGCACTGCATAACTGTCCTTTTCTCCTCATTGACATAAAGACACATAGCTCAGATGTGGACATTATGCTATTAATATATGATATTAGATGACATTTAACGAATTTGTGGCATCCTATGGGCTTGATAATACCCTGCATTGTTCAGAATTTTCCTGAGCCATGTATTTTAAATACATGAAGAAAAAGAGATCTTGATCAGTTGTTATTTTTGTTTGGTTGGTTTTGCATGTGTATAATCTGTTGTTTTCTTTGCATTGCTGTGTTGGTTAGCATTTCAAGTTCCTATGTGCACACACTTGATTAGATATTTCAGTCCTTGCCTGTGTTTGTTGTGTTTAGTGCCATTTACTCTTCTTCCCACTGCAGTTAAAAGCAAATAATGTAAACGCAAGAAATGAGTGGGGTCCCAACAAAGTCCTGGAGATAGTTAAAGTAGCGTTGTTGGATTTTTGACTTGTCTTATATTTCTTTGCTGAATGCCCTGCATTGACCAAAGGAAATAATGTGGGACTCTCTCCTGTATTTTTGCCTCTTACCAAACCATAGTTCAGCATTGTATTTTTTGACAGTATCCAAAAAAGGGAAGTAATTCTCTTACATTTCAATGTAACTGATCTAGGCTAGGAGACAAGGCTGCTGAAACCGCCAAAAAAGGAAATATTTGTTTTTATATTCTTATTGTGTGCTTTCTCTTCCTTAATTACTGTATAAAATCCAAATAGGATTTATGAGGCAAAGATCTCTGTGTAGCCGAAGCTTTAGCATCAATGGGATATAAGTTTCCCATTTAACCTTATGTCTCTCTTAATAAGACTTTTTTTTTTATGTATGAGGATCCTGTGCACTGCACGGGGCAAAGGGCCTTCCAAACTGCCACTGTCCTTCTGAGATCGGCTCACACAACGGTGCTGCACAGAGAAAAGTTGTGTCAGACTTCGTGTGAGGGCACAAAAAGTGAGCGATACTAATCAATCCCAACTCAATGGCATTTGTAGTCCCCGGGCTTTGTCTGAGTTAGGTCTATGTCAAAATGGAACATAGATTTAGCAATCTGACTCTGTAATGCCTTGCCTAATCAGCTGTGACTGTACTGAAAATGCTAATTATTTAGTAAATCCCATTCTTTTTCTCACTCTACATTTTTAGGAGACATCTGCTTCTTCCATTGTATTAAAACAATTATATTAAAATTGGCAAAGTGATTGCATGGGTGGCTAATCCATATACTAGAAATGTAGGCCTGGTGATCACCTCTAAGTAAGAAGTAGCCTGGGTAGAGAAGGTTTCAGAAATACTCCCAGCAAATATAAGGAGTTTCAATCTATCACAGTTGAACTAAATGACCATTGTAGGTCCCTTCCAACTGAACTATTCTATTCTATTCTATTCTAGCTGTAGCGAGCCATCATCAGATACAGGGTGAGCAAGGGATTAGAGCAGGACCAAATCGGTAGTGAAGATGAGCACAGCTTCTTGGACAATGAATATGGAGGAGTCTTCATATCAAGCAGGGAATGAATCATTCACATTGTGAACATGTCCTGTATAAAAATGCCATCGCTCTAGCACAGGGCTCATGGCTGAGCTGGAAAGACATTTCCTAGGTCCTCTTGGTGGTATGTACTTATCCTCTACTTACTTTAAAACTGGCCAGTATCTTGAAATATCACAAGCAGGATCTTAAAAACTCTTTAAAATTTTTCTGTTTTAAAAATGAAACCATAAAAATACTTCTTAATCATATTGCAATTAATTTCAGTACATCACAAACCTTAAGATGTATAGGCTAAACTCCTTGCTGGAGAGTCTCCTTTGGAGAATTTGTTCTCATAATTACTCCTGCCAGGGTGCCATATGGTATATGAATATCACACGTCCAGATCTGAGTAAGTATTTACTAGAGAGGGAAACTAGGGCATACAGAGGTTCCCCTTGGACACTACGGAAGAATCAGGTTCAAAGGCAGAGCTAGAGCACAAGTGTTTCCAGCTCCTCTCTGTGATGTACATCACGAGAAACTACCGTGGAAAGAAACTGGTGCTTAAGAGCAAGACACCGCTTTCCAAGAATAAATATTTCCTTATGCTACATAAATAATGGTAGCAGCCCTCATATTAGTTCATGTTACAGGACAGAAGAAAAAATGCTTTGCCTCAGACTGCAATAGAAATGAAGGTTTTGTTCTTGTCAGTCTCCTGTTAGAATTTGTATCTGCACCTAGCAGCTTCAGGAGAGTTTTTGTGATTTGTGTTTTCGAGAGCAATCATTCCAGAAAGCTCACAAGGTTTACTATTTCTTTAAGCACTCAGTTGGCTTCTTTAGTCGGCCAAAGATTTATTTCTGCCTCTGAGCCAGAGTGCCATTTTCCCTTCCCAAACATCCACAGCTGTTTAAGTGTTTTTCAGGTTTAGAGTTTTCATCCTTTGAGTGATTCTCCTGCACTGAATATCTACTTCTGTTGCCGATGTCTTAAGGGGGAAAAAGGAGGTGTCAGACGAGCCACAGAGATGCATTCTGTGAGCCTGACTCTGACCACTGTGGTGGCTGAGATCTGAGACAGGCTCTGCAGGGGTTGGGGATGCTCCCTTCCCAACCTTCCCACTGCAGAGACACCTGAGCATCTGTGCCACAGGCTCCAAAAATCAGTGGCTCCTTATGATGCCTTTTCTGCCTTAAAACTCTGGGTTCATGCAGGTTAGGGACAAACCTGCCATGTATGTGCTGAATAGTGCAGTGATCTCATGGAACAGCATTGAACCCATCCAGTAAAGGAGACTTCTTCATTATTTTAAAATTCTGTCCTTATTTTGCAAATCTACAGCCTTTGGGTCCAGAAGTACAGCTTTTGTCAATTCTAAGGCTTCATTCTTGACTGTTTCTACAATTCTTTGATACAGTCATGCCAAACTCCCAGTCATATATTGCAGCCATTTACTGAATGCTTGTAAGAGTTAACAGGAATACACTATACCCATACATACAGACACACAAGACTGTGCAGAAACTATGCTTGAGAACAGCTATGGAATCGGTGCTGCAAAAGAAAATCCAAAATGTGTTATCTCACACGAAGTTTTTGCAGACTATTACATAAATCCTAGGTTTTTAACATTTGTTTTTTTCATGGCTTCTTAAATCAAGAACAGAACTCCAGATCTATTCACTGTAGAGGGCAATTTTTCTTAAATCTACCAAGAAGATGTGGCAGCAAATACTGTTTAAGGACCTGACCTAGGAAGTTCAGGATTCTCTGGCAGGATTTGCTGGCTGTTAGGTCTAGTCCTGCTCAACTCAAGGATGATGAACATTTGATTTTTAATGATGTTTCCTAAAACTGCCTTTTTAATTTCTAGTTCAGTAGGAAGAAGGCAAAGCAGACAGTCCCCATAAGCAAAGAAGAGCTCTATTCATGGCAAAGCCGGAGTCCAGTAGCCTGTCTGCTACCTCTCCTCCCTGTTCTGCTTGCACCACTTTCCCAAACACAAGGCAACTTCTACCTACAGCTCCCTGAATACTTCAGGGACGTTAATTAACTGATTTCACTCCTGTGCAGGAGGTGCTAATTGCTGTTATACTCCCTTTATGGCTGAGTTGACTGGGGCCCTGGAGGGAAGCAATTTCCTCAGCCTTCCCAAGCAGAGTGAGAGCGCCAGGGACTGAGCCCACCCTGAGAGGTACTGCCCACCGCTAATCCCTGCTGAAGCTATTAAGCACTGAAAACACTCAAAATCTTTCAGGATAGCCCTCAGCACTAGAAAGGATCAGGCTCAAGTGAGGACAAGGAAAAGCAGCACACCGAGCACAGCAGACCAAGAGGGTGCCAGCTGGGGTCAGATGCCTCTTCCAATTACCCTCAACTCCTGCCGCATGCAAAGCCGATAATGACATAACTAATAACTAATTACAATGAGAAGAAGGAGAAAATGGTGCAGCAAATGCTAGCAGAATTCATAAAGTCAAATGCCAGTAAAATACACTATGTATACAAAATAATAGTTTAGTTCCTGGCTACCCACTGTGTTCAAGCTAAACAAAAGACAAAGTAATATCTTCAGGTTGTATTTGCAAAGACAACTGTTCCCTATTATAGGATAAAATTGCAACACTTTATTTTATTTAATTAGTACCTCGTTTGTTCTAGTATGTTAAAAGGCTAATATGCATATAAATTGATGTTACATCTTTGGACAAATTGCACTATATATATTATAATGTAAAAGAAGAAGGAAAGATGTGAGCACTGGGCTGTCTCCCATCAAACTGAACTGAATCTCACAGTACTACTCTGTAACTTACACCACAGGCATTCTGGTAGGCAGGAGAGATGGCAAGAATTACAAGCAATTAGGGTTAAAAGTGTATATGGGCCAATTTGTAGCTGTGCTGTCCCAGGAGAGACCCAAAGAAGGCATGATGCCTCTGAGACACACTTTCCTCCCTCTGTAGTGACCTACCTCCAGCTGAAAAAGGAAACCTTCGTCACCCATCCCTGGACACCTGCTCCATCAGTTTCTCCCTCCCTGGCAACTGCTTTGGGTGGTCCCCGCGGGTTGAGCCACTCTTCCTTGCGTCAGGCTACTGTTGGAAGTTTCCATGTCCCCCTCTTTCTCTTCCTGATGCCCCTGTAAGGCAAAGCAAGCATCTATGGGGAAGCACTGGTTGCTATGGAAAGCTTGTGTCCCTCTCATTCTCTGCTCATATATACACACACAGATATGTATATATGACTACCGTGTCAATGAGACATCAAAGTGTACAGAAAGTAAAAGGACAGAAAAAAAAATAGAATACCTTTTAGAGTCATCTCTCCCATGTTTATTTATGTTACATTGATGATGGAGATTTGGGTCTCACACAGGGCAGTGGAGTCAGACCTGCATTTTTTGCAATGTGAAGTACTATTGATGAGCCAGTTAAAAGCATGTCATTGTCAATCGTGTGACCCTGTAACTAACATTATTTTTGTTTTCCTTTCCTTTTAGTTTGAGCCATCGCAGTGTCAGCAACAATCAGAAGAAAATGCGAACGTTTGTCTCAATAGCCCAAAATGCCTGGGGAATTTTTATATCTGAAAGGAAGCCTGGCTGGAAGTATCTGATGCAGCTTTTTGCAGTTTGCTTTGCAGTTGGCTTCTTCTCAAGCTTTCTCTTATTCCTTGGCATGTACTTCTCCCTGGCACACCACCCTTTAAGTCTCTTATTGATTTCTGGATTCATCTGGATCTCGCTGTCTATCGCTCTCTCCTGTTTCAAGCACCTGCGCTGTTTTAGTGTCCTGTTCCTTCTTTCTTGTGGACTGAAAAATGGCAGGAGTGCTCTTATTACTGCTGGCACGGGCATCGTGGTGGCCGGCAACATCCAAAATATTTTTCATAACCTAAAGACTCTGGCAGACAGTATAACCTGTCATTTGGAGTTTGAGCAATTTGCCTTGATAAAATATTACGTTGAGGCAGTAAAATGGATTTACGACAAAGCCAAGCTTTCCACTGTACTATTCCTAACGCATGAATTCACACCATCTTATTCAATTTCAGATGATGAATTAAAACAACAGCTAAATGACACAAAACAAGAAATCCAGACAATTGCTAACCAGATATCTTTTATGCTGACTGTACTGCCCTGTATAGGCCAGAGAGTATTGCCTATAGTGGGGATTTTTCTAGCTTCTTTTGGAACTGGCATCTTTATCAAAAAATTTGTAGGCTCTCACAGTGCCAAATTTAAGAATACTTATATCACTAAACAGTTCATCGCATTTGATGAGCAGCAAAGGCAACAGCAAAGACCCTGTCTCCTTCCACTTAACAGAAAAGAAAGAAAAGATTATGTGACAATCCCATCTCTCTGCCTCACAAGGAAGGACAAAAAAAATATGCAGTACTTTTTTCTCCCTGTAATTATTCATCTTTGCATCTGGCTTTTGTTTGCTGCAGTAGATTATTTGTTTTATTTGTTAATTATTTCTGTGAATAAACATCTCCAAGAAGTACCGGATCTAGAGATTCAACTCAGCCTCTTTCAGCGAGTAAGTACTTCTCAGTACTTTGTATCTCTTAGTTTAGTGTTGAAAAATTTCCCTTCATTTCAGCAGCTGCAGGAGCGGAGGTGCAGCCAATGAGCCATCAGTTCTTTCATGGCATTAAGATTCGTTTTCTTTCAAAAAGGGCCATTGCCTTTACAGATACGTATGTTGGATGGAACCAGACAGTCCTCTGCACAAAGTGTCATCATATTTCTAGAGAATCGTAAATATAGGATGAATGACTTCATTATTTATGTGGAGAAGACCAGAAGCTTAAAATTGGAAACTCACAGTGCTGACAGTTGCGAAGCACCACTGTTATAGTCAAAATGCCACTGTGACAATGACGTAAGAGATGCTTACCTTTGTTCGGCTGAGTACATGAGGAGCTCATCATTTTCCAAGGAGTATCTAACAGAAGTGCCTGGCCTCTGCAAGGTGGTTAGAAGAGCCACAAGGAAGAGCTACATATCCCTTTGACATGGTCAGAAAAGTGGGCTGGGTGATTCAGTGTCCCTACAGTGTTCCTACACGTAGAACAGAAAGTTGCCTGCCAGTGTGAAATACTGGTCCCAGCAGCACGTCTAATTTGGTCCCTCTGATTTGGCATTTCAATCCACAAGAAGTGCAACTCATCAGCTCTTCTAAGCAAAGGCACCTGTTAGAGGAGGAGGGGTGGCTTTGTTTGCATGGTAGCCTCGTCATCAGAGCACCTGCCTGGGTGGGTGTGGAAGCACAGCTGACCAAGTCCTGGGCCAAAAACCCACACTGGGACAGACACTGCTCTATGTCTGTGGTTTTACCACAAAGGAAGGACGCTCCAAGCAGGGGTCTGAGCTGACTCGTCAGTGGGAATATATTAAACTGTTACAGCCAGATTAACTAAATATTTGTTTGCTAGAGGCACTGAGAAGGTAAGTTCTTAACAGCCTGAATTGTGGAGCAGTGCCAAGAGAAATGGTGAAATGGTGAAAATGCAGTTTGAATAATTTATAAATAGGTAATAAATATATTGTTATAGTGTATATAGACACTGGATGAACTGGATGTTTTATGGTCCTTTGTGAAACTGAATATCCAATGGGAGAAATACTAAAAAAAGAAGAAATCAGTACTATAACCAACTCTTTCCCCCCTCCCTCCCTCCCCTTTTTCTTGTGCAGAGGAATGAAGACAGCTTTATAATTCCTATGAGAGAGCATATTGCAAAGACTGATCCTTTCAAGATCTCTTTGTTTAAGCATGACTGCATCCCTCAACCACAGCTCGCTCCCTCCACGACATGGATCCAGCTTGGAGTCATCATCTTCTTCTTAAGCATTTTTGGGTTATTCTCTGGCCTCCTAACCCAACTTAAAATACTCGTGTCAACTTCATTTTATCCTGACACTGAGATGAAACGGATACATTATTTGCATGCAAAATTACTCAAGAAAAGAGCAAAGCTACAAGAGAAAACTGGGAAGAACATGTTTGCTAGAACGGTAAGCCATCAGCTCGAGGAGAAAAAAAATTTCCCCCTCTCAGGGTAGTAGCCAGATGCAGGAAATACTTCAACACTTGTTAATTTCAATTATGTTCTAACAGACTTTCCAGAGTGCTTCCCTGCACAGAAGCCAGAGACAAGTTACCTAGTAGATTAGATCATATAATTGTTTTGTTCCGTCTCCTTCAACACACGTACATCAGACATGGCAGTGGTACACACAAATGATAACGTGCTAGCTAGAAAATCCCCCTCAGAGCTCTCCAGAGAAGAAACTTGGTTTTCATGAATGTACAAAAACTACATCCAGCGCAAAGGCTATCCCTGCAACCTAGACAGCAAACGTTAGGCATTTGTGAGTGGCCTCTAAATGTTGATAAAGGTATTCAGTTGTTACTTAGCAAAATGGAAGGTGATATATTTCCGTTTTAAAACACAGTGGGAGTACAACTGCAAATACCATTAGGAAACAAAATTTTGCTTGCAAAAACATTTGCCCTGTATATATATGTATATATGCACTAATTTAAATACAAACACACATGCATATATTTATGGCAAATCCAAGTAGATAGCTTCAGACACACAGTTTGTTTTAGTTTGTGGGTTCTTAATGGTCTTCAATACCAACCGTACAGGATGCTAGTGTCTGGGCAATCTCTATCTCAGTAACACTATGATCATAGGATCACGTTTCTGTCTTTTCAGGTCAACTTTTGGTTTCCAATACTCCAGGCAAGAGAGACAGTGAGGAAGAAAGAACGGAGTGTGGCAAATGACAACATGGTGTGAAAGAGACCAGGTGAATCTTTGGATAAGGCTGAGATGCTCTAGCTCCACAGGGACATGTGTTTTGCACTCATCTTTCCTATGGAATTTCAGTTCTAAAATGTAAAAATAGGATCACAGGCTAATCAGCAGTATTTTGGAGACCTGTGGAAAATTTTTCATTTTTCAACTTGGGTTCTGTATTGTCTGGTACTCTACAAAGCTATGGAGGGCCTGTTCTTCTGTGCAAAAGCAATCAAACAGGTTGGAGCTTTTAGGACTGCAGCACGAACCTCTTTGGGTTGAGGAAACAGAGGATATAATGGCAGCAGCAGGTTTGTCTTCTTCAACTTTGCCAAACACTGAAGATATAAGACACAGCAGAGACTGTCCATTGGTTTCTGGGCTGTCCAAGAGTCTAACCAGAGAGTTTAGAAGTTTCTAGACATTTCTATTATTTCTCAACCCTCAACTGCCCTAAACCCTTCAGCCTGGTTCTTTCCCATCCCTAGCTTCATACGCCTGCTCCTGCCTCTGCAGCTGTCTCTTCTGCACGGCCAGTGCTCTATATGCCCTGTCAGTCTTGTAGCCCAGCTGAACTCTCTCTCCTACCTCTTCCTCCCACTTACTTTTGCTAATTTGTGTCTCAGAAGTTTCTAATCCTAGTCTTCCACCTGGAAATCCTCACTTGGTCTTAGTCTCCCACTTACACATGTCCAGAGACTGTATCACTAGTGCAGATCATCCCATATCATTGATGATCATGAGAGAGGTAACGTAGCACGCGCAGAAGTGAGAATGCTCACAAGAAGTAGAATACAGAGGAGTCAGGTGCTGTGGGTACAAACAAGCTGATTTTGAGGTGTAGGGGCATAAGAGCAGAGGTAAACAGTATTTTGAATTTTGCAGTCTGAGAGATCTTTCATAAGAACAGCAAACTTTAATCTGTTCCTTTATAACATGTGCATCATCCCAGGACAGCGATTGATTGATGTTTCTGTTATCTGAATGAATAAAAACTTATTTAAAGCTTTTCAGTAGCAAGTGTCAGATGTCATTTTCCACGTGAGACACTGAAAAACAGCAAACCTTTTTTTCTTTGGGTCTCACTCCAAACAAAGCCTCACTCCTCCATTGACACTGATGGTTCAGGTTGCTGGTGTGCCAGAAGCTTGTCTCTAGAACACAGGTACTAGATTAACGTCATGCATTACTGAGGGTTGTGTTGAATGTCTCTGAGTGGCCTGGCTATGTCCTCCTTTGCTCTAAGTGGGACTGCCTAGGACAGCAGCAGAACATAATTTATAGCGCAGATACTTTTGTCAAGGAACAGTAGTAAAAAGACTTTTGGTGAAAAAGGAGCAAAATGAAGGGTGCTTAAATTTTTTTTTCACAAAACATACTGAGTATCCAGGTACAAGTGACAAGAGAAAATTTTCCTTCACTTTTCCCCTGCAGATGAAAGGGGAAAAGGAGTTAAATGTCAACAAGAGCTTAGCGTTTCTGTCCGAGTCCTGGCAAGTTCATTGCTGGTAGGAGTTGGATGTGCTCCTTTCAGTCCCAAAGGACAAGGTGGTGAGAAGCTCTGACCTCACAATTAACAAATTGTGTTAATTTGTGAATGTGCTGTGCCAAAACCAGGGTGCCACCTCACAGATGTTGTTGTTGTTACACTCATACTGGAGTCATGCACTTGGGTGGACTAATGCACTGTGTGCCTCTGTGACACACATACTGGTGCGCTGAAGCTGAGCTGGTTGGCAGGCAAAGGAGCTAAGTTTGCTCTTCCCCATCTCCCTAAACCTGGGGTACCAGGGAAAATGGCACGTTCTGCACACTTTTTTTTTTAAATCCTAAAACAAATTCACCTTTAGTGCCCCAAAGACATTGAGGTTAATCTCAGCAGTAGAACAGTTCTTACACTAATCTACAGTATTAGGTCTATTCCTTCAGCTGCCCTGTGGTTGAGAAAAGAGCAGAAAAAATACCCAGCAAACTGAGGACCTCTTTAGTTGTACAGATCGAAAGGCAGTTCTCTATTTCCCTTGGCACTACACAGAGACATACCTCTCATTCTCTGCGGACCTTACTTGATTTCTGTTTTCTCCCATTTGTTCCTGTCCTGTGAGCTGGGGAGGTCTGGGGGTTTGTTTATCTTCAGCTGTCTCCTCTGCAAGTTGTTCAGCTATTCCCTTTGGCCTCTCTGTTTACCGTAACCCCCAACCGCATGACTACATTGTTCTTTTTTCTTCTTCTTTTTTTTTTTTTTAAATCCTCTACAAGTTACAATAAAAAAAACAGTATTCCATCCACAATTATTTCTGCTCCTCTTCTTACGTATCCTCTTGTCACATTTCCTACATTTTATTTTGGTTCTTTTCCCCCGTCTTTGTCATTCAAAGTCTTCTTTCCTCTTTTGGGATGTTTTCTTCTGCTCTTATAGACCATTCTTCCCCATACATAAAAGCATGTAATTTTTCTTTCTGCTGAGCACAAGTGAACTACAGTTGAAATTAAGAGTTTTATTTATTAATTTATTGGCATAATGGAGATTTTCAATGTGTTTTATGTTACTGGGCATTGTCTCTAACTGCCTGTCTAGGGCTTGTCAGAAACGTATTCATACACCACCAGCACTCAGAACAAGAGTCTGAGGAGAAGTCTGGATTTGGCTTTTGACTCATTCGTCCCTTTCCTTCCCCCAGCTCACCACAGAGCTCAACTTCCTTTTTAAACTTCCTTCACTAGTGTAGAAGTTGTTTGATTTACTGTGAAAAATCCCCCAATTGGATCAAATCTGGTTTGCAAAATTAATGAAAGCCTGACCTGATTGTCTTGTGAAGATAATTCAAAGAGACATGCTAGGGCTTCTGACCCTCCTGAAGCACAATACAAACGAGGCAGCTTCCTTTCAAGAGCCTTGTTTATGGAACTCTCCTTATCACCACCCCATATCCCTGAACTTGGCTTTCTTCACAGCTAAACTAAGGGCTCTTTTTTTTTTTTTTTTTTTTTTCCTCTGTGCTTGTTTTGTTGCAGCACTTCACGTGGGCAGCTGGGTGTGCAAAGTCAGAGGATGCTGGGTTTACAACTGCTTTCACCCTGATCCCTGCTACGTCAATGTTGTCACACTGATTCTATTTTCATCACAGTTTAAATAGCCCAGAGATGCTTGCAATTAAAGAAAAAATGAACGGGCAAAGCCTTCACTCTAGTTCTGTTTTACATTGCAAAAGTGGAAAGTAAGGATCAAAGGATCACTCTGCTGCTGATGAAATAAAGCCTGAAAATGGGGGTGTTACCGTCGACCTCATGGGCACAGACTTCACAATATATAAACATGCTTCATAGGAGCTGCTGTGCATGACAGTAACTTCCTTCTCGTCTCACTCCTGGTACACAATACCAGCCCTGCCCTCCAGTGGCCCAGCAAAGCTACATGCCCCACTATTGCTGCTCTGCAGAGATCCCCTGGCACTTCAGGCTGAAGAGAGAAGCACTGCAGGTGTTTGTGCCTGCACCAGAGTCATGAGCTCCTCACAGGTAGTGAAATGATAACCAACAGGCAATATGAGGATTTCTCTGGCAAATGATGGGGACGAAAGCAAAGTTAGGTATGCCAGGATCAGATCTCACAAATCCCTTCTCTGTTACTGTCCCTAGAATCTGCATCACCATGGAGAATGGAGTACTAAAGATCCCAAATTTCTGTCTGGCTGGGGAGACCTATAAAAATATGGCTAACAGCATTTTTTCCTTACTTTAACAATGTATATGAGTCTTCACCTTTCCATACAGGAGCAGAGGGGAATACAGCAGAATCTCAAAGAGAAGTGCTAAGCAAGGAAAGTCTGCTCCGTGTTTCAGCCTTGACAAAACAGATCCTTGTCTCCTGTGTACTGAGATGTATTGCTTCAGAGAAAAAGGGGCTTAATGTAGCAATTCCACCTCTTAAAGCAATCAGAGAATGTCTACTCTTGCTGAGTGACCAACGGACTGAAGGCAGAATCAAAGAAAGCAAACAGGCGCTGGAGAAGCCCGAGGACTGTAACTAGATGAGGTAGGATTCAAATATCTAGGAAAGCAATTGTTGTGTTACTTCCCCATGAAAGGCTCAAGGAAACTGTGCTGCAAAAGTCATCTCTAAACCAGCTTTCCAACCTAGTGTGGGGCTTCTGTTGTTTTAGGACTACAGTTATAGCATGGCCCCAGCAACAACTTTGTGAGAAAGTAATGAAAAATGATAGCTGGGATGAGGTTGTAGGACAAATTCAGAAATCTTGTCAGTGTCTAGAGACTGAGGCAGGACTGAGAAACCACTCAGTGCTCCTTCCAATGCTCCAGTTCAGGACCTATGCTGAAATAAATACATTTTATAATCCCATTTAATTCCAAATTAACTACATGCCTAATAGAAAAAACATCCTACTGTATTTGGCTCTGCTGTCAGTTATTACTGGTGTTTTGGAATAGGGACCTGGGTGGTTCCAAAATTATATCCCTGTGAAGATCCCACCTTTATAGTGTGTCCCACATAAGTGGAAAAAGAAAAAGGACCACAGGGATTTGGACCCCGACAGTCTCAATTTTAATATTAGTGCCCAAGTAGCACACCTGAAGTACTTTTGATGTCACACAGTTTCCCAAGGGCTATTATTTACTTGGCACTTTGTGGCTAGAGGCAGGATTCAGGTACTAGGGCCTGCATGTGTCATGGCAAAACAAATACTCATAAATTTCACAAACTTGACAGCCTCAATAACTTGTTGCACTCAAGGATGTAAAAATACAGCAGATGTTTTGGAGTAAATCCCAGTTCAAACATACAAGTAATTTTTTTCATGACATCTGCACAATAGTTTAAAAAGTCATTGGCATTAAAAAGTAGGCATTTGTTAAGAACAAAATCCAAAGATTACCTCCTACAAGGAGTATAATCCGTGGTACAGAGCAGTAAATACCAATACAGGCATCAGAAACTCTTTGCTAATTGTACAGGGAGGAGCTTCCTCATTTCTGTTCTAATAAAAATCTGTAGGAAACCTAAAAAGATTATACATTTTTCCACAGATTATATACTTGCATGGTTTGGAGAGCTCAGTTTACAAAATGGGTGTTTATATAACTCATAAAACTACTTGCTGTTATCACACTGTGAAAACATCTGTTTTTAGAAAAATCACTAACTTTGTTCCTTTGGGCTTTCATGATCTGCAGTCTCTTGTATCACTTTTATCTCAGTAGGTGTCCCAAGAGCTCAAAGGACATTTGAAAGTCCTGGGCGCATCTTCAGTATCCAAAGGATTGGCAGCCTTTATTCCTGGGTTTCATTTCAGTTATAATTGAGTCATTTTGGCCTTGAGCAAGTCACTTAAGCCAACACTGGACATTAAACATCAGGCAGCTACATAAATTCAATCACTTGAGTAATCACAGAGCTTTGGGCATTGAAAGTTCTCACAACTGTAAACTTATTCTAATTATATTTACTTGTCTCATAGGTATATCATATCATAGGTATATATTATAGGCAAGGATCTAATAATTGTTAAAACCTGAAGCCTCAGATGAAAGACTCCATACAAATATATGTTATTGTTAGAAGTAAGTCCTTTCTCCCTGTTGCTTTTCCTCCTACTCTTCCCAAATTTCTGCTCTTCTTCTAAGGTAGAAAAATATTAATTAAAAAGAATGAATTAATGCTTGACATGCACTCTTGACAAGACAAAACACAAGAAAAGACAGGCATCCTTCATACCAGAGAGTTCCAGCTCTGAGATGTGAAGATGGACTTGGTGGAGATGCAAAGATGCAAAGATGGCTGCACCAGTTAGTCACGCTGCATTCTCTTCGTAGTCAGTGGAGACAAACTGGCATTGTAAGAAAATGTCTCATCTCATCTGAAAGGAAAGCAACACTGTACAGGTTCATCTAGCCTGTTTTAGATCTTGATGCAGAGATTAACAGTGTT